AAATATTTGCAAATCAAATAGTAAATTAGAATTTGTAAGGTAGCTATTATAACTGGAAATTAGAATTAAAATCCTGCAGACTTAAACAGATAGCGAGTTATGGTCACGTTTTGAACAACTCTCAAAACACGGAAGAAAGTTTAAATAGCCATTTTATTTTACTCTCAGTTTGAACATGAAGACACAACTTATGCCATCGACAAAATTTGCACAACTTTGTAGATATTTAAAATTTAAAATTTATTTTTGCTTTTGTCTCTGCCATGTGTAACCTAAGTATGAGCCATTTTCTATTATAAAGTTCATCATGCTGATAACAATTTAAATTATCAACCTATGCTGCTTCATATAAACTCAACCTGCTATTTACTAAACCTATGGACTGAGCAAGTACATGGCAGAACGCGGCATAAAACAAAGAATCAACATAAAGCTAACTGTTACTATAATGTAAATAAAATGTCAATAATCTTCTTTAAAATATGTCCAACTATTATAAGCGTAAAATATATACCGAAGAGCCGTTGCATTATGGCCACCTTGTTAATAACATGCAAGATCAATCACCTTTAGCCTTCAAAACTGCCAGCACCCGGCATGGCATTGACTACAAATGGTGCTGATATGTAGTCTGAGGTATCTGGTACCAAGCACTTACCAACTGGTCACGCAATTCTTGCTCATTACGACGAGGTAGCGTTGTGGCACAAATTTAGTTTTCCAGGCAGGACCACAAATGCTGTATTGGATTAATGTCAGGGGAATTTGGAGGCCAAGACATGACTTGAAAGTCATTGAAATGTTTCTCGAATCACTCTCTGATGATTCGACTCTTATGGCATGGTGCATTATTCCTGTTGGTAAACACCATACCCTGTTGAAAATACCATTGTCATGAATTGGTGAACCTGGTCTGCAACAATGTTCACATAGCACAGACATCAGGGATTGTTCTATGGGAATTATGGATTCTAATGTGTTCCATGAAAACATTGTACACACCATACTACCTCTGCCACCGGCTTGTCTCCATCCAGCTGTGCATTCGGGAGCTAGAGTTTCATTTGGAAATCACCATATTAGCACGCGCCCGTTGATGAAATGGACCAGAAAACATGATTAGTCGAACCATGCAACTTTCTTCCATTCTTCTAATGTGCAATTTCGACGTTTCTTGGCCCATTGCAGACGCAGCTGGCGATGATGTGTCGTTAGTGCGGGGACGTGCTTCGGCCGTTAGTGTGTATGCGTAGGCCCATATGTAGCAATGTATGCTGCACAGTGTGTTGAGAAACACTGCTTGGGTCACCTGGTTATAGCTGGTGGTGATTTCGGCTGTTGTAGCTCTTTGGTCACATTGAACAGTGCATAGCAATCTCCACTCTCCTTTGGAATTAGTGCCCCCGTCGATGACACACCAGGGACTTGTCATTTCACCATTCATACACCATCATTTTCAATATGTTCTCACAACAACTGCATGTTAACAGCCCACTAAATGTGCCGTTTCTGATATTGATGTTTCCAGTCGCCGAGCCATAATGATTTGACCTTTATCGAAGTCTGATAAATCAGCTGCTTTTCCCAATATGTCACTAATCGTGCTATGCTTGAAAAGACAATGCATAGCCACTTTATATACTGCAAGATCAGTTGCACACGCACAGTGGTTTTGCTTTTGGACGAATCCATTGTTATAGATGGAGAATGGTTATAATGTAACGACCCTTTGGTGTAAGTGTTTTTATGTATTATAATAGCTGTTGTGCAGCAAATCACCTAAAAGTGATAATACTTTCCTTTCAGTCCAGCGTATCTTCCAACTCTGTCAGTTTTTCTTTTGTTAGAAGTTTTTGTTGTGGCTTTCAAACACTTCTTATTATTACTTACTATTATTATTATTATTGTTGATACTTACTATAAATTTTAATTTTAAAACATTATCGAAGCATACATAATTATTAGCCAATTTTCGGCACTTCTCATCATTTTGGCAATAAAATTGCTTGTTCTTCTCTTCAAAAATTCTTTGTAGCTATTGAAAACTGTGATGTCCATCCAAGAACAGAAATAATAATCTGCCCAACATATTCATGCTTTAAATCTTTCTACTACTCCTTTTTTTTTTGTGATAATCAGTGAAGAAATTCAATGAAAGCATCTATCACAAAGTTACTAGTAACTGAGTCTTAAAAAGTGAGAATAGGAATATATTTTATTACTTTTCAAAAGAGTTTCTTTATGAATTGGACTGTGTGAATTTTTATGTTACAAAATCATAAAATAATTTGCTTTAACTATATTCTAGTCATTATTTTTTCAAGTCTTGTTAAGTGTATTGGTGCATCAATAAAAACTATAATCAGATTGGTAGGAAGGCATTCAAAATTGTTTGATTCAGTGTTTCATTCCTGGTCAGCTTTCTGAAGAGTATTAAACAAATTTCAAGTGCTTTTTTTCATTTAAGGAAATAATCTTTCACATATTAAGTGAAAAGTATAGTAATAATTAATGTTCCAGTTGATGTAGTAAGAAATTTAAATAATAAAAAAAAGCAACTGCCTTTGTCTGAAATCTGCTCAGCCATTCAGATATCAGTTGTAAAATGCAGATGATTTGGGCTACAGATTTCCTTGCTCAGTGTTGAAGGAAACTATCATATTATTGCTTTTATTACTGTCACCAAATGTTTCCAAAAGCCACTAAGCTTGAGGCTGAGACCAGTGGCTGAGTGGTTAAAACTGCTGAATACTAGAAGTCCAACCTGAGTTTGATCCTAGAGGAACAAGCTGACTATATGCTTTGTTTTTATGGTTTTTCTCTTGTATAGCATGAATACAAGCCAGTTTCCCTTAGAAAGTTCTCCATTAAAGCATCACATCCCTTAACCAGCTAGTCCTTGTTGTGCTTTACTGAATTCAAATAATCTAATCTAAACCACTAAACTTGGTAACTGAAGATTAATCTTTTGCTGTTTAAATTGAGCAATATTGGAGCAGATGGAATTTTGGTATTCTTCCATTAATGATGCAGCAGGTGGAATGTGCTCAAGTGCATCCCAAAATGCTCTATATAGTCTGATTAATCATACTTTGACCCAGGATTTTTTTGGGGGGGGGTAAGAGAGAGCGGGAAAGAAAGATTTTCAGTGAGAGAATTGGGATGGATTTTATAACTAGACAGTTCCCAAAATATGAGGAATAGCCATTGAATTCTTTCACGAAAATTAATTTATTCATAATGAAAGCTTATGTTCAAGTAACCGCATGATGCAGTATCAGAATAACTGCTGCACTAAGTGACCAAGCGAAAGGAATAAAGAACTACTAAGTCAAAATTGGTTCGATGGAATTACTTCACTTCATAAAAGAATGTAATATTTTTATCAGATATTCATATAAAACTACATTTTCAAACACTGATGTGTCTTGAGTATAACATGGCTTGTTGATATTATTTAAGGTTGCATTTTATATCATGTTTGGCTGCAACTTTGCCTAGCCAGTGGAAAAATAACAAAATTTATAAATTTTTGTTATTAGAACTAATGTCAGACTTTTTATCACATAAAAACAGCAAGTTTTAAACAAACATGCAAGTAATAGAGAAAATAATTTAGAACAAAACTGTGTGACTGTTCAGAAAATGATTATGTAATTTGGGGGGAGGAGAACATAAATTTAGATTTACTGGATTGTGGTAAGTACATAAGAGCTGTCTGTGTATAATTTTAGAGGTGGAGCCTTATAACGAACTTTTCTAACAGATTTTTGAAATATATATATGCTTTTATTTATTTATTTTTATATAACTTGATACCACATTTACTGCATGTTTTATCTGTCTGATGATTATAGAAATTGTTGTACATTTTTCAAACATCTGTTTGCTATAATATGTTTTAGAAATTCAGGATCTACTTGGAATCTGTATCTTTCCCATGAAATTACACAGAATAATTATATCCTGATCCCTCATATGCTTTTGATGTTCTAAATTAACTTTTTCAATATCTCTAAGAAAAATTATGAATTTGTTCAGGACTTTTCATTCTGATATGACGAAAAGTATCTTTTAGCTCTGGTTACAGTAAAAGTTGAAAATTCTGGTACTTCTCCTCCAGCAGTAGTCATTGCCTAACATTAATATTGATATGAAAAATGTAGCCTATATTAGTAATGACAATCTTAGTGATGTATTCAAGGTGCATTTCTATTTGAAAACAAAATTATGGATATTTGAACACAGTCTTTCACTAAAAAATATTCCTTTTCCTTTAAGAATGTGACAGATTCTTCATCTTTTAATGGTCATCCAATTGTAAAATTCATCTTAATGTCTTTGGGAAAAGCTTGCATAAAAAATATATCTGAATCAAAACATATTCAGTATATAGTGTAAGACTGCTGTCTCTTGCACGCATTTTGGCTGTCCCTTCACAGACGGAAGATTACAAAAATTTCAATTACTGAAGTTTTACTCAATTAAAAGAGCACAATGTTAATATTCAATTACAAGCAAAAGTTTAATGATTTTGGACAAAGTAATTATTTCGCAGATGTTATGAAAATGAGAATCTGCTAACTTTATTATGGTTCAGACTTCAAAAAATTGTAACCTAAAATTTCATTGTCGACCTTTTATTGTTGACATTTGAGAGCCAGCAGAGATTTTATTTTACATCTGAGAGCTATCGTGGATTTCAGATGTTATATCTGGAAATTTTTGGCCTTTTACTCTATCATTAATCTCTCAAAGATGGTCATTACAGCCATATATTGAAAGTATTAGACATTATATTGCAATAATTTTGTTATAAAATGTAAGTATGAATTCTAAATTATGGGATAAGATATCCCATAGAATAAATATGCATTCGAAGTGATTCTAACATATGTATAAAGAAAATTATTCAATTAAAATATATGTATACATTTTTTTAATGTTGTTTACAGTGGAAGAAAAAAAAATTAAAACAATTTTCCCTCCTCCTTATGTAGCATGCAGTTTTGCAATGGACGATGGAGGTCGTTGTCTGCTTGACGTGATTAAGTAAGTTATTTTCCATTTAATGAAGCATATGTGAGTAGTTAAACATATATCAGTAAATTTGAAATGAAATAAGTAATAACATTTGTATGAATTATATTGTAGTGCATGGTATAACTTTAGTGCATAATATAATTTGTACAAAATTTTTTTTTAGTGATCCACTTCTGCTGCAGTCTTTCTTGGAGAGTGGTAGTGATGAGAATTCTAAGGTAAGGCTTAAATTTTGCCTATTTAGTCTATGTCTTAAAATATATTGGGAAAATTTTTGAACTAATAATAAAATATGTACGTTTAAACAAAGAAATTGGGAAAGATGGTGCAAGAAACTGAAACATTTATAAAAACATATCTAAATATTTTTATAAAAAAGCTGGCAGTTATGAAATTATATGAACAACCATTTGTTTTTCTTGAAATAGCAGGTCCTGTATCAGTTATCTTCAAGATGCATAGCACATTTCTATAAGACTAGGTCAATCTAAGATTAGATTTGGGTTAAATTGCAAAATATTTTGAATTTCTTAAAACATTCTTGATTTTATAATATAGTATTTTTCAGTTAGATCTTTAAGTTGTATGATTTAAAATATAAGCAAAAAAATTAATTTGGAATTATTTTTATACCTGATATTTTAGATATTTTTACTTAACAAGATTTTTTTATAATTATTAATTTTTCAAAGCTATTTGTTATTATAAAATAGAACTGTTCTTTATTTTGTCATAATATCATTTTCATGTTTAAAAGGGTGCTGAAATTGGGCATTCTTTCATTATTCTTCTTTTCATTCTTCTTCTTAAAAGTAACTAAAATATTATTATGCAGATTGTTTTTGATAGGTGAAAGAAATCTGCTTTTCTTAGTTTTGTACTTCAGCTATTTTTCCATTATATGGATAATACGAAGAGTTTGATCATAGATTGAATATAATAAAAATTATCTATATATATACGTGGGCAAGAATTTCCATGTATCTAGTCAAAATGGCTTTCATTACCCTTCTGTTCTTGAAAAAGAAAATTTAAGTTCAGTTTTTACTGTGAAGAGTGGTATGCATCAACCTCCCAATTAACTATCGGGTATGTAAAGCAATATAAAATTAGTGTCACAAGCCACTGGACAACAGAAAATTGTTTGTAGAAAATACAATTATATATATATATATATATATATATATAGAGAGAGAAAATGTTTGGAATAATTATAGTGATGGCAGATAATGTCATAGTCATTTATAACTTAATAACTTCATTTCTAATGATGATTATTTTTCCATTATGTAAAGTGTTTATTATTATTATTATTTTAAGTTCTGATTTAATTTACACAAATGATTGTATTTTGCAGATTAAACTTCTTGAAAATATTTCTAAATTATTAATACTAATTTTCAGTTAATCATAATATAGGTTATTCCTCTTTCCTATATTTAAGTTTCCCTCATATTAACCATGGATGTCATTTCAGTATTAATAACCCTACTAGTTAATTGGAAATTGGATGTATGTGAAAAACATAATTTTTGGCTACTTTGTGTACTTTTTTATACCTAACAGTTGGTCAATAATTCATTGTAATGCAAATATAACTTATTGATATGTTTCTGTAATGGTGATGGTTAAAAAGTTTAGAAAATTAATAAAATGTCTTAAAAATAGTTGTCTTAACAAAATCATATGAATTTTTTATAGATAGTTTAAATAGAACTAACCCCCTCCAACTTAGTCACAGCTGTTGTAGAAATTCCTACCGTTTTCTTGTGAAATTCTAGTGTTTTGTGGAAGAGTAATTAAGAAATTCTCTGATAAAGTCAAAATATGTGGGCAAATAAGTCAACCTTTTTATCATGGCCTAGCAGAAGGTTTGAAGAAATAAAACTGTTAAATTTTGGCAGTACATAATTCACTTTTTTATAAAATTCTACCAATTGTGTTAAGTGCAAAGAATGCTTAGAACATGCCTCTCCCTCCCTGCTTTATGTGGGTAGGTGGGGGGATTAAGAAAAGTTTGGGGGTAGGCATTTTGTCATCTGAATTGAACTCCTTTTACAGTACAACTGCTTTAAACTCCTTTTTTAAGATTGAGTAGTTTTAAGCTAAAATTTTTTTCTTTAGAAAGATTATAAGAAAAATTCTGGGTTGGCTCAAATGTTTCAAAATTAGGAGAGAGGACAAATTATTTAAAAGGGGAGGAGCTGCTTTTTATATATTGCAGAACTGACATTTAAAAGTCTCTTTCTTTATAGTAATAATTGTAAAATGTAATTTTGAAATTCGTTATTTTATGTATTTATCAAAAGCATAATCAAAATTGAAAATTAATTTTTCAAGTAATGAAATATGCATTAATTCATGAAAATGGTACACATTGTAATAAATTCATAAAAATGGTACACGTTGTAATAAATTCATAAAAATGGTACACATTGTAATTAATTCATGAAAATTGTACACCCTGTAATTTATGGATTGTGTTTTAAGCAATATCTAGGATAATTACTTTCATTTTCAAATGTCAGTATTATTGATATAATTAAAGGCGTAGTTTCACAAGATGAAAATGACATCAGTTGTGACCTTATTGAAGATTTCTCTTTCTAATAGAAAACAATTGATACTGAAATCATCTCCTTTGAATCTGCTTTTGAAAATTTTTATTTTTTTAATGTACACATAAAGATCAAACTGTGATTAAATGTAGTCGTATTTATTTGCCTGATTAATTGTGAGAAAAGAACTTGACCATTCTACCGTTATAGGTAGCGTTAGTCATAGTTAGTGTCTTTCAAAACACCATCAGAAGCTGCTATGAAATATTTTCTTCTTTTTATAATTTATTGAATGTTTATGTAATTTTAGGGTGCGTTACATGAGATAAATAATTTCTGAGGCATTTTTTAATTGTTAAATATAATGAATGTAAACTAAATAATTAATAGCTGAAGAAAATATCAAATGAAGGATAAAAGAAATTTTGAAACTGGTTATTTATGTATTGCACATATTTAAAATCAAGTGAAGTCATTTAAGCCCCGTTCACAAGAGCAGATTCAACCGGTAGTGAAAACCGGTTCTTCCAACGTGTCCCATTCACATGGGACAAGCATTAACTGCCTCGTAGAATTGGAGGTAGAACTTGGTTGAATGTTCCTTACCTCTTGGGAGCAGGGCAAATGGGGAGATTTCCCATACTATACTGCGTGGTTCACTTAATTTTAGTTACTGCTCACTGGACTGTCAGCAAAACAATCGCGCTGATAGATGTCTGGGGATGTGATAGCATCTCCCCAAAATTAGATAGAACTGTACAAGATACGGAAATTATAGACAAATACAGACAAGGTTATCTGATGCTAGGTATTCCAGAAATATCGTTCAAATTAAAACTAAAGTTAAGACAAGTGCATATCGGCTTCAACGCAACAAGGGACTCGGTACCTTTTGAATGATTTTTTTTTTTAAAAAAAAAAAAATTAAGCATTTTCATCTACTTTTTATGAATATTATTAAATGGTTTTGTGAGACAAAATAATTTTAAGCTGAAAAAAAGTTTTTGCTAGTAATTTTTTTTAATTTAAATTTTTGAAGAAAAATTTTACAATTAAAATGTCTTTCTTCTCCTACAATTTTCAATGTCTCCCCCCAGTTTTTTTATTGTATTTATTAGAGTGTTCTTAATAACTTCAAGGAATGATTTTGCAATTAATGAATTAGTTTCTGAGAAAAAAAATAAAAATACACTTTTATCTAAAATCTTTAAAACAAATATGATCTCAGTCACATTTTCATTTCAAATAATTTTTTTTTTCAGTATTTTGCAAAACCCATCCTTGTTTCTATAAAGTATATAATTTTAAATAAGCAGTAAAAATAATAAATAATTTAGTCCATACCTGTATATGTTTTAGGACTTTTAAGTAAAAGTATTTATTGAAAAAAAAAAAAAAATGCAAAAGGTTTCTCAGTTTGCATTTGCAGTTTAAAGAATACAAACTGTCTAAATAGAAATTTAATCATTTCAAATCTTTAAAATTTTATTACTGAATTTCAGTACATATATATATATAAACAGCACTAGCTTTGATTTATATATATATATATAAACAGCACTAGCTTTGATTTATAAATATATATATAAATCAAACCTAGTGCTATTTATTCAATTGGTAAATATAAACATAAATTACAAACCTTTTTTTAAAACCTTATGTGGCCAGAAAAATTGCAAAAAACTCATAAAACGCAAGCAGAATTTTTCTTTACCTGTTTTTGTTTTGTAAAATACGTTCAAAACAATTTTAATACATTAATTAATTATAATATTGTTGCGTGCGTACGGGTTTGTAATAGATTGATAATAGTTCGTAAATGATTGTCATTGCACTCAAATCCGATGATAGCTTAATTAAATTTATTTTATCAACATAAACACTTCAAAGTTCTGGAATTTTCCACAGAAATACTCGTACAAGTGTTTAGAATATCACTAAGTATAATCAGTAGTTATGCTTCAATCTAATAAGAACGTTAAACACAACGGAATGCAAAACGCATCTTAAGAGAAAAGTTAACTCAGAAATATCTCCAATCTCACGCTGAACTAACAACTGGCAACAATAACAACTTATATAGCATAAATAATGTCATAAAAATAGTGTGGTATAATGAGATTATTACTTTAAAACCGATGTTTCGAATTGATGCCCAAGAAGAACCAATATTTCCCATTCTGCTTCATTGCATATCTTTCAAAAAAGTAAAAAAAATCATCCAATTAATTTCCTTTATCATTTTTTTAAATGCGAAAAGTTTGTTTTATAAGCTGTGAAAATGTCGGAAGTTTGTAACCGATATATTTTTAGATATGAAATTTTAAAATTAATGGGAGTCAAAAAGTCTAAAAATATGAACGATTTTCAAAAATTCTCCCAAAATATTTTTTAAAAAAATTACGCTAAAAATTTCATTTAATTTTTTTTCCTCCATAGTGTATGTACAAATTTGTGTTATGGTGCAAACTATAATATTCTGAGATTCTCAGTTTATTTGTTAATATTTGTCAAAAATCGTTTCAACTTTAAATTTGAAAAAAATCTAATCCTCTAAAAATCAAAAGCGTGACACCAGATCCACAAGCAATGTATGTACAAAGTTTGAGTTCTATATCTTATCGGGAAGCAGTTTAAAAATCCATGACCATCTTTTAACCATAAATAACAACTTATAAAATAATAATTAAAAAGCATATATTTTTCAGGAACCGTTACGAAAGTTCAGGTAGCAGTTGCGAAAGTACAGATTACAAAATTAACAACAGTAAACAACGTTAAAAATGTATAAACAGTATTAGAAATCTGCCAATTCGGAGATGTGATTATTCACAGAGGCTTAGGTATAAAGGGAAGGAAGATGGTGGTCTTCTGAACGGGTCCTAAAGACGAAACTCTTTTATGTCTCCTTTTTCTCCTCTTGCTAATGGCAGCTGTGCGAAGGAGTGTTGCATGTGAACAGTTAGTGAGAGTTTGTGAAGTAGCTAAAGTAGACAGCTTGTTCTTCTTGCTAACATTTATATAGAGCAGTATATACAATAAGTGGTGTTTAATGTGATCGCATTTGTTATGGCTGTTTTGACATCATTAACCGAATGGTAACATTAAGCAACGTGAAAAAACATCCTTCAAAATAGCAATGAAATTTATATAATATAAATATAACTAGATGCATAACATGTATTTACTTTCGCAGCATTTTAACTAGGAAAAGCAGAAGTTTCTTTATGAACTGTTCACAGTATCTTAAATACATTTAAGTTCACTTATGAACTGTTTAGAGTGTTTCTGGAAATTATTTCACTGGTGCTGTACCCCAATCTTAGTTCTCTGAAGTCATCCCTCATTGGAAGAAAACATGCCAATTTAAAATATAAATTCGGCAAAAAAAAAAGCAACCTTAGTTTAGTATAGTTGTTTTCAGGGAATTTATTTTTTGGAAGAAGGAGGAAAAAAAGTCTATGGAATTTTTTTCTCTTGAAGCAGAATGACATGTCTAATTACCCACAAAACTAAGATTGCTTTTCCCCCCAATTTTAAATAATTGATCAAAATGCAAACCCAACTGTTTTCCAAAGTAATCCTTTACTTAACGACACTGCTTTATTACCTGGCAATTTTCTGTAATCTATTTTTGCTTTATTTGATGACTTTCAGTTTGAAACAAATTCATTCTTTTAATACTTTGATTATATTAACCATGTTGTTGAACATAATAAGCTGCATATTTTCCATGATTTCATATACAAATCGCTAAGATTTCGGAAATTTGATAACATTAATCACAATCATATTAAGCATCCACTCTAGCAACTTGGATCAGGATTTTCAGGATTGACTTTCTTTAGGAAAAAATATGTTTATTCCAGGTCAGTGGAATAAACTGCAAGCAGTTAATAACCGTGCACCTATAGGGCTGCTAAAGGAAATAAATTTACATATAACAATTTAACGTATTTGGAAATAGATGTTTATTTCTGTGATAAAATTCAAAATAACTTTTTCCAAAAAATTCAGTGAAATGGTAGTATTTTTTAAAATTTTCTGGTGTGATATTCCACTGAATTTTTGTTTCTCTCAAACATGTTCACCTATTGAAAAGATGACCAAGACAATTTAAAATTTTATATATAGTATGGATGTGTGTTGATTTATACAGCTGTAATTGACCATTTATTGCTTCATGATTGACTTGTCCATATCTACTGTAGTAAATGTGTTCCAGTAAGATATGAATTTATTTCTGTCAACACCTTCATTTTTACCCATCATTTGATTGTTTGCATTTGCAAAAACTGTATTTTCCTCTTTTATTTTAGGATCTACAAGATGGGACTTCTTCTGAATCAGCTGTTGAAAGTCCACAGGTATCCAGGAGTTCTCATGCTTCACTTTCAAACCATATTTCATCAGCTGAACACATAGTTGAACAAACAGAGCAAATGGGGTACAGTTACGCAGTAGACAGTCAGGGTTTGTTGGCTCAAAGTGGAGTATGCCCCTCTAGTTCTGGTGGTGGGGGGATGTCGCTAGTTGTAGCATCTTCCTCAGTTGGACCACAAACGTACCAGCATGCTTCATCAAGTGGAGCTACTATTCATCATATTCCATCATCTGTTGCACACTCTTCGTTGCATCCACATTCCCCTGCTTCAGCACGACCTGCAACACCTCTTTCTCATAACATTAAGTCACCTGGTCAAGGACCTTCTTCTGTACATAGTATGCCTCCTCCTTCTCCTTTGCAGCAAACACGGTCACCTTTGCCATCTCATACACCTTCTCCAGCTCCTGCTTGGTCTCCTGCCCCACCTGTGTTATCTCCTGCCACAAGCCGAGCTCAGTCATCAATGCCTTCTGTTGCTTTCCAGCAATCTCACAATCAAATACTACAAACAACATGCAATGTGACACAGTTTGTGACTGCTTTAGCAACTCAGCAGTCTATTACTCAGAAATTAACTCTTCAGCAGCAGCAGCAATTGTTTCTGCAACAACAGTTGTCACCTGCTTCTCAACAGCAATCTGCTCCACGGCTGACAGGTGTAACTTCACCTGTGGTCACAACTGCAGCAGTTGCAGTCACTCCACCAATGGTGCAATTAATATCTGCACCACAGTCAAACGTATCTTTACCTACAAGGACGTCTCATAGTACTGTTCGTCCTATTCAACCAAAGTTACCACCGCAAATTTTGCCGAAACCTGCTACTTGCAGTGCTTCAAGTCAGTTTGTTACTCCGGCTCCTGCTCCAAAACAGACACCCCCAACACCTGTTACTGCTGGTCAGAGAACTGTAGGCGTTGGTATTCAGCCAGGAGCAACAGGCCAATTGGTCATTGGTCAAGGACAACCTGGTGTTTTCTCTGGGCCGCAGGGTACTATTGTACTTAACCAAATTATTCCAGGTGTTGGGCAAAGTCCTATTCTTATACAAGGCAATTTGAGTAACCTTGCAAATATTCCAGGACTTCAGTTAACTTTAAGGCCTCCCAGTAGTGCCTCTCCTGGTCAGCCAATGAATTCTACTACTTCTCAAAATAATGCAACTCTGATTGCTGCACTTCAAGGTCCAAGTCAGCATGCTCAGACTTTGTTTGCACAAGCAAAGTCTCCTATTCATGGTCAGCAAACTATTGTGATTCCTAATAATATAGCACATGCTGGCATAACCTCACAAAATATAAATTTGACTTCTACAGCAATACCAAATAGTAATATCATGTCATCATCCTCTCAAGGTCAGGGTTTTTTGGCTAGATCTAATATTATTCTTTCTCCAAGAGTTGTTGGTGGAAATCAAGGTTTGCAGCTGCAGCAAATACAAACTCCACAAGGTCCTATTTTAGCTTTTGCTCCTAGCCAAGCCATAGCTGTTCCTCATTTGCAAACAGCATTACAGAATGCTACATTGGGAAATGCACAGCTGGCACCTGTGACAGTCCCTATGCATGGAGTTATGGCTGCTGGTCAGGGAGTCATATCTGGCATATCCCTCCAGTCTCATGCACCACAATCTGCCTTACAACAGCAAACACAACAGAGTCTTTTCAGTACTGCAGTTCCTTTTACTAGCCATTTAGAACAGTCACCACATCAAGTGATACAAGTGCCACAGCCTCTGGCTCCACATCAAGTCTCTGTTAATCACCCAAATCAATTGCAAAGCCAGCAACAGCAAGTTGAACATTCTCCTAAGCCTGCATCTCCACCAAAGCCTTCCAAAGTTCCAAGTGTAAATTTAGAAGAATTATTGAAAGAGCATGGCATTGTGCCAGAGAACTCTCCCCCACCTTCTCCTGATTCTAATTCTCCTTCAATGGAGGATACAGTTCCTTCTCAACTGCAGCCTTCAAGTACTGTTGTACCTTCACCACATTTAATTACAGCCTTGCAGTCTCAACAAGTCTTGTTAGAACAGGTAAACATTGATTTTTTTTTCAACATTAAATATTGTATTGACTTTTTTTAACATTAAATATTGTAATTTGCTTTAAATTACACTTTTCTAACTGAATTATTTTACTTTGATAGAAATTATCTGTTTTTAAACAAATTGAAATTGAAGCAGATAAATGTTTTTAGTGAAAACGACCATGTGAAAACATTTTGGGGTGGAAGATAGCTGATAAAGCAGGAGAACTTTTGAATTATAAAAGATTATATATATTATTAAGGAAAATTACAAATATGTTCATTCTGAAAAGTTCCAAAATAAACCCCATATATTAATTTTTCAAAAATGATATGGAAAAAAACTTTTTTAATGCATGTAAATAATGAAACATGGTTTCCTTCAATGAGTTCATTAAATCTTTTTTTATATTTTTATTTAAATGAATTAAATGTTGAACTTAAAAGTTATCATCTATTTTAAAAAGGAAAATTATCTTATAAAATTTTTGGAATTACAAATAAAATTGGCTGTTGTAAAAAATGAGTTTCTCTTATTTATCTGTTATCAAAAGTTAAAATTGCTTCCTTGAATTCTTGATGTCTCTTGGAAGTTGTTTCATTTAAGGGTTTTATTACGGTCAAAAGTCTTTAATCCGGAAAGATCTATAATCCGGATCTCAAAGCTACAAACTTTCGGCGCATGCGTAAACGTATAATACCTTTACTCATGCGCATATATGTTTACGCATGCGCATAATACGTTTACGCATGCACATTTAATGTATAATGGACGGTATAAGCTAAGCTAAAATCATCTAATTATCTAATTCAGTTAATGTTACAGATTGCGTTGTTACTTAATCTTGTAATTGGATCCGGCTTATTATTTTTTGCAGACTGTTAGAGCAATTTTATAAAATTAAGCTTGAACTTTCGATTATGTCAAAAAGAATTTCCGATTCTGGAGCTGCCAAAGGATCTACAAAGCGAAAGCATGTTTTGATGTCCATCAAAAAAAAAAAGTGGAATTGCTGCAAAAAATGGATAAAGGAATATCCTTTGTTTCTCTAACCATTCCGAATCTGTTTATTAATTTCACGCTGCTCTCAGGGCGGGGGGAACATCGCGGCGGCGCATTGAACTGAAGTTGATCTGTCAGCGCTATCCTTATCTTCAAGGCAGTTGTTTTTATTTTATTTGGCTTATAATTCCTTACTGAATGTAGTATTTCATCTTGATGTACTCCGTCTTTGATATGATTTAAATCAAATTCCTCGTCATTATAAATATCTCGAATACACATCAAATAGTTTTCTGGTTGCAATTTTCTATAATGTATGCTTTAGGCATGTGCGCGTTGAAAGAAATGTTTAATAAAGTAAACAAATAAAAATTAAGCTTTTTTTTTTTTTTTTTTTTTTTTTTTTTTTTTTTTTGTAAATTTTGATACCCTTTAGATCATAATTGCTCTTTATTTCATAAATTATGGTTTCATATTTTTAATTTTATAATTTCTGCATGCCATCTTACCAGATTTAATCTAATGATCTATAATCCGGAATCGCCGAAGTCCCGATGAGTCCGGATTAAAGACTTTTGACTGTATGATAGTTCTTCCAATAAAGCAAATCCTTGCTTCCTTTCTCAGCAGCCTGACAGCCCAAGGTGGGCCCTGTCCTTTTCAAGAAGCTTTTTCCAGGCCAATGTTCTCCGGCTAGCGTTTTCCACTTTTGGGTTTTTAAGACCCAAAAACATTTTTAAGGTCATTTTCTCGGCAGTCTAGCCATCTTAGATTTGGTCTGAATTTTTTTTTTGTTTTTTTTTTTTTGTTTGTGTGCATTCTGATAATGTTTATTCTTTAGCATTTAATGAAATTAATGATGTCAGGTTCATTGTATGAGCAATATCTTTTTGTATTCCTTCAAAAATACTCCTCAAAACCTCCCTTTTAAAAATGCCCAACATTCCTCATTTGTTCGCATGATGGCCCAGGTATCACATGCATATATCAGAATTGGTCTTATAAAGCTCTTTATACAGTAAAACTTAGGTTTTTCTTTGAACTACACTTGATTTCATATATTTTCGTATTCCATTGAAGCATCTATTGGCTGCAGTGATTTTATATTTCTGTAATGAGATTGTTCCTATTGTTAATTTCAGACCATAAATATGTGAAGCTGTGAACAGTTTCAAATTTATATTCTCCAGTTTCTGAGTGAGTGCCCTTGAAATCTGTTTTAGTGCATGGCATATATTTTGTTTTATTTTCATTAATTCTCAGGCCCATCCTGAGAGCCACCTTCTCTAGAGATATAAAAGCCCATTTTAGTGCTGTTGGTGTTCTAGCAATAACGATAATATTATCAGCAAAAGCCAATAACTATACAAGTTTATAAAAGATGTTTCCTCTGGTATAGCTATTTGAATCTCTTATTACTTTTTCTAGTGCCAGATTGAAAAGAAGGCATCTCAGTGCATCACCCTGTCAAATGCCATTTTTAATTTCAATTGTTTTTGAAGTTCATTCTGTATTTTTATCATAATAAAGCAAATGCCAGTAGAAATTCAGTTTAGTTCATAACGTGCAAGTTAAAGGAAAGAAATGTACTGTATCTTTTCCTTGTAACTTTTGCACGTACCCCCCTCCCAATTTGTAGAAATTAAAAATTGAATTTTGAAAAATATGTGTATTTTTTCAGAGCTTATGCTGTACTGGTTTCATTTGTTATGGACTCTTGATTAACAAACTCATTAGAGATTAAATAATTTTGAAATTTAAATAATTTTAAAATTTAATTTCCAAACAATTAAAAATTTTCTCAGTGAATAACATGATTTATTATGCTAAGTATTAAACTATTAAATGTTATAATTAACTATTGTTCAATCTATGCAAGTTATTTGTATGAAAATTCTTGTTTCTGTGAAGTTCATTTAATCTATCCTATATGATATTTAAGCTGCTTTCTGAGACAAAGTTGAATAGTAAAAGCAGAAATTGTGATGAATCATTTTAGTAATTTTTTTACTTCATATGAATTTACAGGACCCCTTTCTCAGTATAAGATTTGGTTTGGTTTGTTATTGTGGCAATGGCTCGGGGGCTATCTACCTTTGTGGAGGACTTTCTAAGGGAAATTGCCTCATATACACGTTACACATGGGGAAAACCAGGAAAATGCTCATGCAGCCAGCCCATTTGCAGGATTTAAACCTCGGACCAAACTACCAGTGTTCAGCAAAGTTACACATTTGGACACTGGTGACCCCCCTTCCCACACACAGTGTAAGGAGTTGAAAGGAAGTTAATATTTTAATGGATTTCTTTAACCATATGTCGATAACTTAATCAGTCCTAAATTAAAGATTTTTGAATTTTTAAGTATTGCTTTTAGATAACTAAAATCGCGGAAAAGAAAGGATGCAAAACTGAGAAAGAATAGCATAATATCGGTTGAATCTGTTAAGAAAAAAGTTAAGCGTACTTTAAAAGCAAAATGTTAGAAAGATTTTTAGAAATACATTTTGGTACTTATGTATTATCTATCCTGTTGACTGGCCAAGTTGCGCATGCCAGTTGTGGATGACCACGTTCTTTACAATACTGAAGTTATGATTGCCGATCATTGCAAAACTTTCTGTCAACAGTCAATGGAATAAAATTAGTATCTATATTTTTAACAAATATTCAATAATTTTTTAAAGCATTATTTATATTCTTGTAGATTATACTTATGTGTATTTAGTACTCTTTATGTGTAATATAGAAGTCTGAAATACCATCAAAATGTCATTGTCCTTCATAATTTTATATTATAATCATTTTATTGGAATTATCTTTGTAAAAAGCATTTAGTATTTAGTTGTATTACTTTTGTGAGACTTTTATCTTGGATGTAAAGTTTTTCTTATAAACATATAAGTGAAATAACACTTTAAAACTATTTAAATCAACAAAAAACTATTGAAGACTGTTAAATAACAGCAACCTTAATTTTTGTGTGATATTTAAAAAAGATACAGGGAATCTGTTAAAATTATAATGTATAAAATTATAATGTAAAATACTGTATTAGCCACATTTAGCTCTTAGAAGTTAAAGGAATCTGCTGCTATCAGTCTTTGCAATTTAAGTATTTTGTATGAAAGACATAAAATGTCATTTTTTTTACACTCCTTGAAATATATTTATATATGCATACATTTCATTGAAATATATTTATATATGCATACATTTCAAGGGGGCAGTTTTAGATCATGTGGTACATACCTGTAAATTTAAAATTAAAAGAAAGGGGGGAGTTATTTTTTATTGAAATCCTACAGCAAAATACTTATTAATTATTTTAGACAGCATTGTTATGAATCATGGATTTTTATTAAGAATCAGGAACTTAGAAATTTACAGCAAAATAAGTTGCACTCTGTCTTCTTTCATTCTTTTTGCCTCTCAAGAGACTGCATGCTGTTGAGCGTACATCATTGATAGATGAATATTTTACTACAAAATATCAAACATAACTCATCCCTTCTTCCCACTGCATGCCAAATTGGACAGATTCCATTCAGTTGTTCATTTATCACATGCAAATTGAAGAGAGTATTTATTGTCTACATTTGAATTTAGTGTAGTTTATTATTTTTTAGTGCAGTTTATTAGATAAGAGAAAGACAATTTTGTGAGGCAATTTTTCGGCTTTGAGGTTTACAATGTATTTTACAATAATTAAGCTTGACTTGTTCTTATTTCTGTGCTTCTTTCAGAGTTCATTATAATAATGTTTTAAATTTTAAAATTAAGTAGACATGCTTTAAAAGGACTTTATTCAAGTGATAATTTAGTTTTTTGCCTTATTCCAAAAAATTAAATTACTGAAAAATGATAAACCTTTAGGAGCATTTTAGTAAATATGAATCTTGAGGCATTTTCAAACTATGTAGAGTAAAAAATTTGGTAAATATTAGTTTATAATATTGAGAAAAGCTTTTCTTTCGATCTAGTTAATTGTTTGATATTTCAAAAGAAAAATGCATGGAATAAATATGGATTCAGCAATTTCGATGCATCACTAGTATTTAAGATGTGAATAAATTCAGCTGAAAACCGTTTCTGGTACTTAACTTTTGTGACCAGACGAAAAGGAAGACCATCCACCAGATGGATAGATGATGCCGAGCAAGATTTAAGGTTAATTGGTGTTAGCCAATGGAAGGCTATTGTGCCGAATGGGATCAGGTGGAGGAAACTTGGAGAGATTGTATATAAATAAAATGCTTCAATTTCCATGGAAAGAACAAAATAGAAAAACTTGAGGTTCAAAAAAGAAAATCCTCCATGTCAAAAAGCGATGCTGCTAGAAAGAATTTTTATGGGCTGAGATCATTAGGTCAAAATGCCTTCAAATGGATTCGAAGCCAAAATAAAATTGCATTTTTACTTGCATATGAAGAAAACTTACATTTCTTTTATCCTCTGTGTCATTTTTATTAATTTACTCTCTTATTATTTGTTTTATTACTTCACTTAATTTTTATACCCTTTCAAGCTTTATTAATTTGTCAATTTTTATTTAATATTTATTATATTTTTATTTTACTTATCATTATCTTAATATTTTTATCCCTTTTTATTTTATTTAATTATAATTATTCATTATTTTTTTCTATTATTGTTGTATTCATTTATTTTTCTTTATCATTCCCGATGGTCTAATCTGCTATTTCTAATTTTAGAACAACTTTAGAAATGTTTCATGTATAGAGATGATCAAGAAGAAATTTTTCAGTTAAATAAACAAATGAAAATGTTGGTGAAGCTTTACAAAGTGCATTAGCGGGAGAAATAAAAATTTATAATTGATTAGTTAATTATAAAGTTTTTTTTATAAAAAAAAGAACAGCCCCTTAAAAAGTTTGCTGTTTCACAAGTAGATAAAGATACACAAAATTGATAAATTTGAATAAGAGAAGACAGTTTGGCAACAATATTTATTTTCATAATGGTCTAATAAGTTGCGAATCAAAAGTTCATAAATATGCCATAAAAAAGGAATTGGTGATTTTGGTATGTGTTAACCCAACCACCTTGGTGTAATTTGTCAATTTTTTGTACAGATGAGAGGTCAAGTTGGTGGTTTTCACATATTTTTCTTAAGAAAGATTTCCAAATTGTCGATGTTTATTGCAAGTTGGTAAACTTTATCAACATATGAAAAGAAAACTTTAATTGTTAAATAAGGATTATGTGATACATTAAAATAATAATAAAAATTTACATTCTTCAAATCTTTCTGCACATAGCAATCTGTTTTTGCTTAAAAAAAAGTCATTTGCAGAATCTGCTTCATGCAAACCTCAGCAACAATGGATATCTAGGAAACATATTTTCTTGTTGTTCTCTTTAGAAAATTTTCACCAAAATTTTGTATTTCTGCAAAAATTTTACTGCAGTTTCTTTCATTGCTGGCAGACTTCATAAGCTCATATTTTAAAATTACTTTCAAACAAAAAAGAACATATACAGAAATGGTGGCATTGCTTGACTAAAGGATATTATGAGCATGGTTGCCAGAAGAATGGTTATACAAGGCACAGTTTGAAAATTTGGTGACTTCTTCTAAAGTGATTTTGTTAATGTATTATGATTTCACTGTTTATTTCAAGTCCCTCCTCCCCCAAATTATTTGTCCAAACCGATAATGTATTGAAATATATAAAGTAATTTATTTCTGTTGTGAAGTTACAGTAGATTAAAGCAAATGTTCAAAACTCCTTTTCTTATAATAAGTTCGAAGTTACAAATCCCCCCCCCCAAAAAAAAATATTGTCACATAAAGTTGATTCTAGTGCTGTGAATTGTTTGAGTTTGTAAATTTTTTGACTTGAATGTTGTTTATTTCCCCCTTATGGTAAAAAAAAAAAAAAAAAAAAAAAAAAGTTTATAAATTGCAAACACAAGTTGTATTTGTCAATTAAGAGTGAAATTTAAGGTTGATTTTCTAATTTTACAAATATTAACATCAACTCTCTTAAGCCAATTTTTATCAACACTAAAATAAATCACTGATTAACTGAACATACATGATACTATCTGTATAAACCAAACAGAAGTGTATTATGACCTTCTGATATAAATTGTTTATTAATTTCTTATTCAGGCTTTAAATTTTTGTTGCATTCATTGTGTAATTTTATGTGTTTCGTAGTATTGAATGATTCGTATACAAATATTATAAGCAATTTTTAATACATTTAATGTTAACATTAATTTATTATTAGAACATTTAAACATTTGGTATTAAAATACATCTCTGATATATTTTAATTTTTCAGCTAAGTCAGAGCCCGCAAGGACATGCTTCTGTACCTCTAAAACTCGCATTCACTCAAGATGGGAGTGTCATTTTTCAGCCTCACAGTTCTTTTGGTGGGACACCCAGAGTTCACCAGTATGTTTCTTCTGGACAAGTTCATGGAAGGGCTACCAGTTCTGTAGGTTCTGTAATTCTTCCCACTGTAACGACATCATCTGTGTCAGTTCCTGTTGTCACTACCGAACCGTCTACATCTCGTAATCATTCTGCCTTAATTGCAAGGTTGAATGCTGGTCCAGCAATTAGTGTTCCTGAAGTGTCACCTATAGCTGTGGTATCATGTGCAGGTGGATCCACTACTACATCTATTACTACCACCACTATCACGACAACTACAACAACTCTTGTGCCATTGACAGTCCAAAGTCTAAATGTTAATAGTTCTCCTATTGCCAGTAGTTATATTGTACAGAAAACAAATCCTTTACCTACTGGTACAGAGAGAGTATTTGTTGCTGAAGATGTTATTCCACCTCAAAATAATGTAACATCTGTGATCTCATCAAATCCTGTGCAAAATATTCCAAATAGGATCAATCATGTCAATTCTGGATTTCAGGCTTTAGTTGTTCCTAATGAACATTTGGCTAGAACATCTCAGAACACTCCCAAAACAGTGCAATCTTCCCACATGGGAAATGGAAGTACAACTAACTCTCAAAATGTAGTACAACCAGAATTGGAAAAAAGTGTGCCCAATGATACACATAGAGAAAGTGCTGAAATTACTGGTGCTCCTGTGCCAAGCCATATTCATCCAGCATTCTCATCTAATGTGCCAAACCAAGTGAGTTTTCTTTTTCCTTTTGAAATTTGTTCATTACTTTGGCATACAGTAAGACCCCGCTGAACGCGGGGGATACGTTCCATCGAAGTAGAGCGTAATGCGAAACAGCGCTAAGCGAGGCTATCTTAACATGTAAATAATGGGGTTAGGGGAAGACGGATAAAAAATGGTTAGGCATTAAATTTAATAATGTTTTTTTTAAAAAAAATAAAATCAAACATTTATTTCTTACAAAAATAAAAACAATATAAACGCATATACTTTTAAAAACAAATAAAATTCTCAGTCAGATCATTCAGTCTATTCTGGGTTTGCAATTTTCTGCCTTTTTGTCAAGAAGGCATTATGATAGATTGGCTTAATGGCATATTGCGTTCAATTTCGTCGTCAATCCATATAGACAGTCGTTTTCCCATTTCCTCTATAATGTTATTTCTAAAACTGGTAATTCTAGTTACAGAGCTTGACGTAGTTGCAGTTGCCGATGACAGTATTTTTTCTTTATTCTTAAGAATTGTCCTTATTGTTGAAGTTGCCAAAATCAATGCAGCACTAATATGAGATTGACGTTCACCAGAATCTAATCTTCTAATCACTTGCATTTAAGTTTCCAGTGAAATGCTTTTTCTGGTTGCTTTCTTTTCTTGTTTTTTATTATCACCCATGATAAAAACTAAAGATCATAATATTTGTCACTGTATTAATAATTATAGTATTATACAAATTTAAAGTTACAATAATGTCAACAAATGTTTCAAATGATAAAAATGCGTCCACAAAGCAAGAAACACAACTACACTGTTTCGGATATGTTATTTGGAAACCTAGCGCTGCGCACAATTTCCGAGAATCCCCAGGTTGAAATAAAAGAGCGCTAAACCGAAACAGCGGTAAACGAAACAGCGTTAAGTGGGGTCTTACTGACCGTATATCTGTTCAAATATAGTAATTCAAATGACTAGTTATAATTATTCTGGGTATGCAATCAAATTCTCAAATAATAAATATAACTGTAATGAGATCATGGCTCATTCTTATGGTAAACAAGCACAAAATTTATATTCTTTTTAATTTACATATTTTCCCATGTAAGTTTTAACTCTGCAAATGTGCAGTAAAGGATCTCCCTCCCCAGGTCTTTCGTATTTGTTATAGCTGATTTCATTTATAACAGAAGCCTGCAGTGATTGTGTTTTTTCACTTTTGATAATTCATTCTTGTTATTTTTTAGTGCTGAATCTGATCTTCATTCTTTATCATCATGTCAAAAAATTGCAAAAATATGAGACTTTAAAATTGATACAAAACCTATTTTTTTCCTTATAATTTATTCTTTTCTGATTTATACTAAGCATTTTTATTGCAAAATGGTAGATAGATCTGATGGGAGAAGAGGATCTTTTGACCTCTTTAAGTTTTGTAATGAAAATTGCTATAAATTAGTCTAATTTTTTTTCATATTTCATTTATTTCCAATAATTTTAATTATTAGAGGTACATTGAGCATTTGAAGCCCTCTTCCTCTTCTTCCCTCTAAATGCCCCTTAGGGAATACAGAACATTTTTTTTTTACTTTTTACACAATTTGAACTAAGCAGTTTGTTAACACTGTTATAAATTTGCAATCCACTGTTGTAAATGGACTTTTGAATCAGTTTAAGATTCGTACAAAAATACTGCCTAGAGACTGTTCATAGATTTGTCCAAAAGAAACGTCAAAGTTTTCTTTCTGTACAGTGGGAATTTTTTCCATATTTCAATTCTATGACTCAAATTATGCCTAGATATTAAATTTTGTAAAATTTGGTGTGAAATTTATGGAGAAATTCAAAAATTTATCTGGGCACAATTTTTTCAGTGTGCGCCAAGAATAATTCACTTAATGAACTTCTTAATATATAGCAACCTATTTTCCTTAACCTTCCATAATGCCGGAATGGGGAAAAAGGCACCTCATTCTTTCATATCTTTTTACATTGTAGATGAGTGGGAAAAAAAGTCACATCAAATAATCTTAACAAAGTGCGTAAAATTACTTTTATTGTAAAGAACTTAATATATTACTTACATACATATTTTAAGTTTCAACTACAGTATGAAGTCTTTAATTCGGACTTGTCGAGACTTTGGCAATTCCGGATTGGGGGTTTTTCCGGATTATAGATCATCAATTTAAATCTGGTGAGATGGCATGCAGAAATTATAAAATTAAAAATATGAAACCATAATTTATGAAATAAAGAGCTATTAGGATCTAAAGGGTATCGAAATTTACAAAAAAAAAAAAAAAAAAAAAAAGATTAATATTTATTTGTTTACTTTGTTAAACATTTCTTTCAGTGTAAGTTGTTTAAGTTGCTTTGTTTTTTTTTTTTTTTTTTTTTTTTTTTTGTGCTAATGCTTTCTCTTTAATTCTATAAATATACATCATTTCTTGTTCAGTTCCACTGTTCAAGTTCTGTAATTGCTGTGTCGAGAATACCGACTAACTTGTCAATCGAAATTTTTTCGTTTTCAATAAGCGGTACATCGAAACGTGCTTTCGCTTTATAGATCCTTTGGCAGCTCCAGAAGCGGAAGCTCATTTTGACATAATCAAAAGTTCAAGCTTACTTTTTATAAAATTGCTCTAACAGTCTGCCAAAAATAATAAGCCGGATCCAAATAGAAGATTAAGGAACAACACAATCTGCAACATTAACTGAAATAGATAATTAGATAATTTTAGCCTAGCTTATACCGTGCATTATACATTAAACGTGCATGCGTAAACATATTATACGCATGCGTTATACATTAAATGCGCATGCATAAACATATTATACGCATGCGTAAATGCATTGTGCATTTATGCATGCGCAGAAAGTTTGTAGCTTTGAGGTCCAGATTATAGATCATTCCGGATTATGGATGTCCAGATTAAAGACTTTGTACTGTATATATTTCCCCCCCAAAACAGTGAATAAATCTAGTTGCAAATGTTTTTTTGTTGTGTCAGAAATTTTGTAGCCGCCGAAAAGATTCAAGACATTATTTGGCAATTTTGCAGCAAAAGGCTTTATTCATGCAGAAATTTCACCTCTGTTTCTTCTATATAGAAAAATCCTACAAGCACAAATTTTACCATTGTGTTTAAGACAAAAAATAATCATAATTTTTATATAAAAGCCTTGAAATATCGACTGTTTCTACTAAAGTGATTGCAGTAATACGTGAGTACCAAATTAAGTATGATCAGGACACAGCATGCTCATATGGGGTAGATACTTGTTGACCTTTTTTTTTTTTCCAATTACAGCAAGAATGTTTCTGCAAAAAAATATAATTCCATTATTTTTAAGGATCTTGTTTTTTTAAAGTAAACTGTGGACTATGCTCTGTTTACGTAAAATTCATGTTATGAAAAAAAAATGTCAAAATTTTTGGTTTTGCACTTTAATGCTAATCTTCTCATTTATTTCTGAGGGTTTGAAATAAAGGTGCAAAAGACAACTGACAACAATATCACACCATAAGACGGGAGCTTCTCTTCTTTGATAGTAAATTCCTTCTTTATGGAGAAGAGTGAACTGTCATGTGACCTCACCATGCTGCATTTAATTAATACTTCTTCTGGACAATTAAGTATTTCATCAGAATGCCAGCAAGGTTGTGTTTAATATGGTCGAACTATAACCAGTTTTTCGATAATAAGAAACATGCAAACTTTAAATGAATTGTTGAAAATATACTGCTGAAGTACAAAAATTAGACCTTTTCCATGAGGTTTACTTCCTAAATTCATATTTGAATTATTTTTCTGAAAATATGGGCGAGAGATTTCACCAAGACATCAAAGAAATGGAAAGGAGGTATCAAAGAAAATGGACTACTTCACTCATGGCTGACTATTATTGGCTATTATACAGAGATGTAACCACACTAAGAACATAAAAGGAAAAACACACTATAAGCATCCACAGAAACTTTGATACTTGAAACAAAATTCCATTTTTATGTACATTGTCTTAGTATAAGTTTAAAAAAAAATAAATAAGAAAAAATGTTTTTAAGCCTAATTTAAAGTCTCACATTTTTACAATTTTGCAGCTTTTTACAAATTTTGAAGTTCCGATTTTTGCAAGAAACCCTGCCATCATTGGGGGAATGAACATCATTTTTCGATTCAACATTAAAAGTACATAGGCATTAATTAATGAAAGTTATAAAACATGACAACCCAAATTTTGCAGGCTTGTGTAATCATTCCATTAGCTCTAAGATATATATTTTAAGTAATGAATATGTATGCGTTAATATTAACGCACTTATTATAAGTTCACGTTATGAAACAGGTCTTTCAAGCATGAATGTTTATTCTTATTAAAAAATAGGTATAAATCTTATTACCTTAAAGTATGTAATAAAAACCTTGTATAAGATGAAAATTTTTAAATATTTCTTGATATTTTTGCCCTTTTTGTGTGCGTGTGAATTCTGCCTCCTTTTGAAAACATCTAAAAGTGCTAAAACTGCTTTAACATCATGAAGGATTATTGATTTGTAAAATTGTGACTGTATTTTCATATTTAACAGTCTAATATACTCTGCCAGAGAATGAAAAAAAATTCCTTTAATATGTGATTAAATTTAATGCTATAAAATTCATCATTTTGAAAATTGATTTCTTGAAGTTATCTCATTTCATTGAGATAAAGCTTGGCAAGGAAATTGAAAATAATTAAATGAGTATTAAAATGTTTAATAAGAGCATGTTTTTGTGTCTTATATACTTCTTTCATACTAAGTAATACTTCTGTCTTAGCTATATCAATAAGAAACAGCTGCTTTTATTCAATTCTGGTAAGTTCATATCAGGTTGCATATGAAACTATGCTTCAGTGTTTCTAATTTTTTTAAATGTTAATTTCAAGTCATTTTATTAGTTCAATAGAATCCAGAAAATAAAAAACATCTGTTTGAATGTTTCGAATTTTTTAAATATAAGTTTAAAGGCATTT